ATACATAGTTGTATATCTATTCTATGTATGCGTATATGTTTTCATATTGGCTATATGCCTTTAAGTTCGAAGCAGAGGTCAATCATTATAATGTTATGTCACACTTCATAGTTTTATAAATGCGAACGGCTGAACGGGTCTCGATAATATTTCGCACAAATATAGAACATAGTCTGGAAGAATGTAAAGGCTACCTAGAATCCCTGCCTGCTTAATCAGTGTATAAGAATGATATGTATTGGACTTTGTCGTTATTGTAGTAAAGTTTTTGTAGCGAAAAATTGTTTTATTGAATCTATGAAAGATATTGTAATAGTTATTATGCAATCGACTAGCGCATGTTCATAGGCGTATTGGTCGTTAGTTTAAATAAGACAATCCAGATAATATTACGGAGTTAAGGGCTAAAAAATCTCAAGGGTGGTTCAGATTTTAATATCGTTATGGAAGACCAAATTTGTGATAACCACTATCCATAGGCAATGGGTGTAATTGTGCTTCAAATTATATATGTTATATTCCCCAAGTTGATTTGGTAGCCATCTTATTTGAGAAAATACTTGCAATGTAGTGTAATAATTGTAGATGACCATAACCACCGTTCGCCTTCATATTAAAGGAAAGAGAATTTCCGGCAATTTCACGCACCGTGCATAACATTGGATTAATAGCGAATAGAGCTATTATATTTAAAAAAAATTTGATACTCGTAATCGTATACGTTATTTGTTTATCTTATAGTTTACTGAACCAAACAATTTAAGTTCCAGTCGATATTTGAACCTACTGGAAATTACCTTTTATAACTCTTGATTATATCAAAACAATAATAGAAGCTTTAATGATGTAATAATTAGTGAAAAAATATAGTCAAAGATGGCTAACCCGTAATTATAAAATAGGCGAACCCCAACCAATTCCTTTTTTAAAATAGAGAACTTGTCTTTTGTTCTATAATCTGTGGCATCCATCGGGGCGGGAAAGCGTTCTGTCAATGCTGCTGCTGTATAAAAAAAGTTTTGTCTTTGATTTCCTTTTAATTGAAGTTTCGAACAATGAGGTTGAGCGTCGTAATATAATGCGTCTTTTGAGCATCAATTATATTCACAAGTAAGTAACGTTTTTTAAATTAATCTAAAATTTAAAGTTTTGTTATTGCAAATAATTAAAATTGTAACAAATAAGTTACTGTAACTTTATTTAAGCGTAATCACTAATCGAGCTTAACACGTGGCCCTTATCGTGACAGCTTTTCGAATTGTTTGGTCAAAACTGAGCAAGCTTTTTTCAAAGATTGCATTTAATATCTTCGTTTAACTTTTGCGATAAGATTAGTTTTTTCTTGCGTTTACTCAATCGATAAGTTTGCCGATAACGTGTTATCTTTTTGTAGGTTATATTGGTTATTTAAATGATGAGAATCTACACGAGCCGAAATGTGTTATTATGATTAACACGTGATTTTTAATGATAGGCCTGATAATGATTACGTAAAAAAAATATATATATTTTTAATTTAGAAATAAAAGCATGATTTTTTTTCTATTTACAGAATCATGAGGATTGTTACAAAATGGTGAATAAAATAGGTAAGGAATAAATAAATAACCCTTTAAACAGATCTGGAGAAACCTTTAGGAATGTTCCATTCCTCTTGCTGCTTTAGATTTTAGTTCTAAACCGAGACATTTTAATAGCATACTTCCGTTAACAAAGTTTATGTAGGAAGTTGATGTAATAATGATATTTTAGATGTATTATGATAACATAATCTACAATAGTCAATATGATGATATCCTAACACGAGCCGAATGTGTTATTTTGATAATAACGTGATAATGTTAAATGATAGGTCTGATTTAGTCAGATTTAGCTTATACTTATGTGATTTTTTTCAAATGACTAATAAATTATTATTTTTTTGCAGATGTACAGGTAAGGAATACACCACAATGAAAAGATTACAAAATATAAAATGCACATTTTCTATATTGTTATATTTAAAGTTGTGTAAATATTTTTCTTTTATTTAGGTCAAATTAGATATAATTATTTAGATAATTTAAGTTAAAATGTTGAATTTTATGTATAATAAAAACTTGAATTCAAATTGTGTTTTCTTTCTTGTAAACAAACACACCAGTGGGTGTATTTCATCACTGATTTTCCTCTTAGAGAAAAATTCTACTCCTCCTACACTCATAGAGTACTGTGAGTGAACTTCAATAAAATTATTGATGAAAAGAAAAAGTCACAGGTAAGGTATGCATAAATTTATTTAAAACTAAAAACGGGTCAATATTATCTAGATCTAGCTCTGTAATACTTTGTACAATATTTACAAATTCATAAGACCTAATCAATCAGCCTTTCATTTTTTCGATGCTAAGCTTATTCTACATAAATAAAAAGAGTCCAAATTTCGTTAGCCATGGTCATTTGTCGTTAGTGGACGGTTTAGTTTTGTACATTTCTCGGGTTGGGCTCCGTAACATTCTGCAGACGGATGGTAAGGTCGACGAGTGCCATGTTGGGCAGGACGAAGTCTTCGATACTAGTGGCGGTGGACGAGGGCCTGTCGAAGGGGAAGCCCATCGCGCGCTTGTCAGGGTACTTCTTGTCTCGCAGACCGCAGAAGCTCGACGCCTGCTTGCACGTCATCTCGGTACCGTCCGCTTGCTCAATCTAGTAGAAACATTTAAAAATTAGCGGAATCGACGATATATGATAACAAAAGCGGAAAAATGTTATACTTTTCTAAATTGTAACAATAATGTTGCGTAACTGTTTTACAGTTGTATGAAAATGAATTCGCGAGGAGAGTAGGCGGTACTGAGCGTGTTGACTATATTTTTCTAGGTATTATAAGATGGTTGCGTGAAATAACCTTATCAAGTTCGTAGTTGGAGAGCATAACGAAGAGTTGGTAGGGAGCGCCGGCCTCTGTGCCGCGCGGCACCAGCATGTGCTGCGGCCAGCCGCACCCGCAGTAGTTGAAGGAGGTGAGGTTGCCGGCGCGAGGGTTGCCGCCCTCAGCGCGCAGGTCGCGGAACGTCTGCTCGAACGGGATGGTCACTGACGATTCAGTTGAGTTGCGAGTTATAGTGTTCAGACCGGCGTTCACTGCAACAAACACATAAAATTTAAAAATCGTACCATTTTTAACAAGGCGGCTAAGCTCAGGGCGGGTTGACTACACACATACGTTTAAATTGCGTTGCAGATATGTACAGGTTGCATAACGATGTTTTCCATCTCAGTCGGTTAAATGTACATATGAAATTCGAAACATACATTCCGGGGACTGAATCCGGACCTATAGAAGGGCTTAAACCCTGCGTCAATGACGTTCTATCTTCGACAATATAAAAAAAACATACATGGCACAACGAAGCGATCCATCTCAACGAACATCTTGCGTTGGTCTGAGAGCACCCACGCCAGGTTGCGCTCGTCGAACTTGGGCGCGATGAAGATGCGGCAAGTGGCTCGGCGAGCACTGCCCGTGTTGTTCACGTTGATGCTAAAAAACAACATTGTAATATTTTGCTTATATTAAAAGGATAACATAATATTAAGACATCAGTACTCAGAGAATGAATATAAACAACTTACACGTAACGGAATGGTCTATGGTTGAGATGAGTGAAGCGCGCAAAAACGGGACCGCGGTCGGAGAAGTCAAGACCGCGGGAAAGATCCACGTCACTCGACATCCAGTAGGTGTTGAGGGTGTTCGCCTGCCCCCCGTTGCTCACGATCATCGCGGACGTTACTTGCACGCCCGGGTTATCCAGCTAAGCATCAATAAATCAATTTGTTTAACTTTAAATTTCACTGTCACTTAAATAATTTTGAATAGTTATTGCGCAATGTAAACAACAATTAAAATAAATTAATAACATACCTCAGATCGTGAGTAGCGACGAACATTGGTAGTTTCCTTGTATCTCTGGAAGAGGTCGTCGACGAACGCGTGCCAGCGGTAGAAGAAGGGATCGCGCATCGTAGTCGCTTCGTCAGCCAGGACACCGAAATTTTCCTAAAACCATTTTTAACATTCAGAGGTGTGTGTACGTAGGTAAGTTACTTCAAGTGACTTATATCTCTTGACGGATAAACTGTTGGTCGTATTTTCCCCAGAGTGTCATGAGTTTTTTGGCTATTAAGTATGCTTGTATTCTTACGAGGTATCGGTGAGTTGGGTCGTGCATATACGCCGAGAAGCTGTGGCCGTTGTTGTGGAGACTGCCGTACAACTCCAAGTTCGGTGACAACATGCTGGCTTCAACCATGTTGCCCAATGTGTCGATATCGAGAGCTTGCGTCGAACCATTAGGCTGAAATGAGTAATTACTAGTAAATGTGTGATTATGTAAGTTAAGACAAAGTTATAATTTGACTTGTTCTTAATAAAAGTATTTTATATTGAAGCCCTTACCAAGCGAACCATTCCAGTGGCGATGGCTTCTTCAATGTTCCTCCTCCAGCGCTCCATGTCAGAAATTTTCACATTGAGACCGTCTACTGGACGGTTCAGGTCCTGCCAGCGCATACCGGCCTGCCGTGGTGGCCATCCTCGTGATGATGTAAGACTGTCTAGTTTAGGGAAGTACCCTTCAGGGATCGGTTCCCTCCAGTTGCTGAATTTCTTAGTTCTTGGTAATGAGTTGTTAAGGCGCTCTCCGTTGTATCTAATAAATAATAATTATTGAGACAAATTTTAAAATTTCTGTTATAAATTAAATTTACAATGGGATAGTAAGTACCTAGCAATAATTTGCTGATGCATATAAAAGAATAATTCTCCACGACGATCTTTCGCAACGATTCTTCTGTCACTGGCTGTGAATGGGTACACAAGATGCCAATGCCAATGATGTAAGTTGACGCCAAGATCTTCACGGAAATAGGCCAAACGATGCTCAACATCCAAGTCGGTGGCAGTGTAATCTCTTGGAATTATAATCGGTATACGCTGTAAATAAAAGATACTATTATAAATGAAAACATTCTTTATTTGTTCATCGCTCCTTTTCAAACTGCTTTTGACCGTAATCATTTTACAAGTTGGATTATTGTGGCGAAGCTCTACTTCGAACCAAATCATCATCAAAAGTGAGCAAGTATTATTGAAATCGCTATCCTTATGTAACCAATAAGACTCAATAATTGCGTGAAATGAAACGTACTTTAATTGTTTACAAAAAAGATTTGTTGGACTTGTCACTCTAATGACATCTGTCAATTAATGAAATAACGTCAAATTTTGTGTGGCAGGCACGTTTTACGCAAATAGCAATAATTGAGGAAAACAAATTCCAATGCGTTGGCTTGCTTTGCGATATTAAGTATTAATTTGCTCATTGCAAAATATTTTCCTTGTTATTGCTTTTGTCGATATGAAATAAAATAAACTCACAACAGTAGAATAACAATTGTATTTTCAAAGGAATTCAGTTTTTGTAAAAGATGTAAAGGAACGGAAAAGTTGTGAAAAGTCACGTAGGCCCCAAGTTTATTCGCGCGTGTTTATTTTTGAAAAAATAATATAACCCCAAGAGCTGTTGTTTTTTTTTATTTTTCTATTTCATTATGACCTACTGAAAATGGAAGATTTGATGCTGAATCCGGGTGTTGTAGTGGTTCGAGCGAAGCCAGAAGGGCAAAGAAAAACTTTTAAACCTGCGATACGGTCTGTGAATAAAATACCGGACGAATTATTAAACGATCCCTTATTAAATAGAGCCTGTGAGTCACTGCCGCAAAATTATAATTTTGAAATTCACAAAACGATATGGAGAATACGATCTTTAGGAGCGAAGAGAGTAGCACTACAGTTACCTGAAGGTAAGATACGATAAAGGAAAGGTCAGTCATGCAAACATTTTGATGTTACTAATAAATTATAATATTCCAGGTTTGACAATGTTTGCAACAACATTGTGTGACATCATTGAAACATTTACTACTGCTGATACTGTGATAATGGGAGACGTGACTTATGGCGCTTGTTGTATCGATGATTTTACCGCGATAGCCCTCGGCGTGGACCTACTAGTGCATTATGGACATTCTTGCTTAATACCAATAGATCAAACAGGTAACATCAAAGTGCTCTATATATTTGTAGATATAAAGATTGATCCGTCACACTTTTTAGAGACAATTAGATTAAATTTTCCAAAGAAGACTCATTTAGCTATAGTTAGTACAATTCAATTTGTAACAACACTACATTCTGTAGCTAAGAATCTCCGCAGTGAAGACTATGTTGTAACAGTTCCACAATGTAAGCCATTGTCACCTGGAGAGATATTAGGCTGTACAGCGCCCAAATTAGAGTCTGATGTAATAATTTACTTAGGGGATGGTAGATTTCACTTAGAATCAGTGATGATTGCCAATCCCGCAATCCCAGCTTATAAATATGATCCATATGAAAAGAAATTTACTTCAGAAGTATATGAACATAAACTAATGCAAACAAATAGACATAACCAGTTGAAAGCTGCAGAAAGTGCTGGTAAATTTGGACTCATATTAGGTACATTGGGAAGACAAGGTAGTACAAAAGTGTTAGGCAATTTAGAGAAGCAAATACAAAACTCTGATAAGAAATATGTGAAGATATTACTATCGGAAATATTCCCTAGTAAACTAGCAATGTTTGAATTGGATGCATTTGTTCAGGTTGCTTGTCCCAGATTATCAATTGACTGGGGTACAGCATTTCCGAAGCCTTTGCTTACACCATATGAGTTTTCTGTTGCATTGGGTAATTCTAAATGGTTGAAAGATGATGGTACATATCCAATGGACTTTTACTCGAATGATAGTCTTGGTCCTTGGACACCTAACTACAAGCCTGTATTATGCAGTGGGACTGATAAGAAATGCGATAATTGTTGTGGAGGTAAAGAGAAATAAACTTACCGGAGTTCCCTTAGGTATAACAGCAGCGGACTCCCTAGCCTGTGCGAATACTGTGGAGTTCAAGAACTTTGAGGGGAAAGTTTCCGCAAAGTTTTGGATTCTCACTTCCTTGGTATCGTTCCTGTCAAAAATATAAATGGTGCATGATACAACATTGTCTTAAAGTCCTATGATATGAGTCTTGTGAGTTGAAATAACAGATTTGTGGAATGTATTGCATTTCAATAATAACAATGAACTTTGGGAATATGTATGGATGAACAATAGATAATTTAACTCAACTGACCTGTGCATCAAAGCTACAGATAAGCAATAGTTGAAGAGCTGAGGGTTCAAGTTCACCCGGGCGTACACACAAGTGGACAGAAAGTCTTGCAGGCTGTTCTCGGGAACACCTAATAGTGAATTAGTGAACATTTATTAGTAAATTATGATTATTTGTAAATATATATAATAATTTAAATAAAATTGATTTTTTACATTGTATGTCTAATAATTGTACTTTTAAAACCACTTTTTTTTTATTTTATCATAAACAGTTTATAAGTTTCTTTAACCTGTACCTCTATACTCCATGTGAAGTTGCAACTAATCTTACTAATATTATAAATGCGAATGTTTAGATGGATGGATGGATGGATGTTTGTTTGAAGGTATCTCTGGAACGGCTGAACGGATTTTGATGAAATTTGGGATAAATGTAGAACATAGTCTGGAAGAACTCATAGGAGTAGCGGGTGACATCTAGTAAATCATATTTGTACGTACGCATCAAAGTATCAATGACTTCAGTGGCCGCCTCCTGATGTTTAGGCAGGAAGAGAGAGAAATCAGCATCAGGTGGCACTTGCGATGCCTTGGTGAACTGCGGCAGCTGGGCCAAGTCCTTGAGGAGGATCGTGTTGCTTGCATCGTTACCGAAACGGTTGTTGAGTTCGATGCCGTTGTTCTCATATTCCTTGGGCTATAAAATAAAAAAAATGTTTTTTTTATCTCTATGTCGAATTTGAATGCAATATAATTTTAATAAAGAAAGAAATGTGGACAGATTTTAAAAGATAAACGATACATGATACACCCTGTATCATGTATCGTAAAACAAAATTGGACAGAATAGTAAAAAATAACTTAAAACTTACCAAATATTGTTCCGTGAGTTGAAACAGTTCATTGTCCTCACCCTTTGGTGTGATAAGGGTTTCGTTAGGACGATCGAAAAGTAACTCGATACTTTTGTATATGGACATTTTTTAATACAAAAAAATGTATACGCTATTAAAATGAAGTTCTCACTTCACAATAAATGTGAAGTGGTAATGCTTTGATTATTATTTGTTACAGTATATATACGTCTTCCTTAATTAGTTACGAGCGCAACATGACAACTTTTTAAACGGTGTGCAAAACCGCAGAAAGGAAACGATAAAGTTGTATGCGGCTGGTAAATAACGCACCGATTTCCTTTTCCTTTCGTTATCACTTAAACATATTAAATAGACTAATGGCTAGATAAATGATCTTTTAGAAATTTGTAAGAACAAAACTCATTCTCCCAACCCAGGGGTAGGCAGATAATACCTACGTTTGGCATGGTTCTGGCATACCCATCTCGCTTCTTCCAGAAACATAAACATCACCTCGATGTTCCCGTCACCCTTTGGCCCCATTCTCTCATAAAACAAAACATGCCCGTCGGTTTCGAATGTTCATAATACCGATTCTTGAGTATTTATCAATCTGGACGATATAAGAGTCTAGGATACTCCTAAGAGGCATACTAAGGCCTACTAGGTTTATGTGAAATTATTTATTTTGCAGACCTGTGACGCCCCTTTCTTGTCCAACGCCCTGGGCGGTCGCCCAACCCCGCCCTATCTCCACGCCAGCACCGGCGTCATATTTATTTAAAGATGAATATTCCTTGTTTACATCTTATATTACTATCTTACTAATATTAAAAATGGGAATGTTTGGATGGATGGATGGAAGACTCGATGTTTGTTAGAAGGTATCTTCAGAACAGCTGCATGGATCTCGGTGAAATTTGGTATAGATGTAGATCATACTGTGGAAGAACACAAAAGCTGCTAATTAGGTTTTTTTAATTTCGCGCGGACGTAGTCGTGGGCCACAGCTAGTTTATATATAAAACGAGGAACACCAATTCTTTATCTGAATAAGGATATTGTTTTATTTATTAATTAATATTAGTTATAACCTTTGCAAATTAAGTTTCATATGAACTTATGTATAAGGAAAATATGACTGTGTCTGTGTATTGTTCTGTCTCTTTTTTCAAGGAAGATTTGAGGGATGACAATATATTCGATTACAAGGCACTGTTGTCAAGACCCAATAGTAACAGAGACTTTGTTTTCCTTTTATTAAAATAATTCTGCTGAACTTACTAATCCTAATTATTAAGATTTATTATAAGAATTTAGGTATTTTATTACATATGTTAATATTATATATGCAAGTTTTGTGAAGTATAATTTTCACATATGAACCGGAAATGTTAAGTTTTAGTCCATTTAATAAGCATGTTGCAGAAAGTAAATAAGTTACTAGCTGACGCCCTTATCTCCGTACGCATGGAATTTAAAAAAAAGTTCTACATGTGTTCCAAAGTTTATCAAGATTTATTGAACCGTTTTGGAGATACTTTCTAACAAACATCCACCCGTTCGCATTTATAATATTAGTAAGATAAAACTAATAATAAATTAGCAGTTTAAACTGTGACTAACTAAGAATTTACGTTAAACAACAAATAAATTGAAAAAAAACACCATGATCATAAACACTAGATTGTCATGAGAACGGAAAGTTTAGCTTATCAATTTGCGGTATTAGTTCCGGTGCATGCAATTTTCAAATTAACTGACCATATTTATTATCTGTTGTTTTAGTTAACATAATGTATAAAATATAAAAAAATGTTAAATTCAAATGGTAGATTTGACGTCAGCTAGAGATAAATAATTTAGTCAAATAAAAGAATAAAAGAAAGTTCTTTTTTGTGTTTACTTGACGTCGATTTCCATTGCTTATTTAGAATAAATTCTGAAAGAGAGGTTAGAAAAAATCATCCTGTATATGTATTTTTATTTTTCTGTGAACGATTTAAACTCTAAATTACACATTGCCATTAATTTTTAATTAAATAAGTTATTAATATAAAAAAAAGACAATTTAAATAATAATAATATAATTTATTGGAATATATTACACATCAATTTATACAATTCGCTAACATTCACAAAATTAATTTTGCTTTTTATTTTTATATATGTATTCGTTAATATAAAAATTGGTAAATAAGAATAGTATGAATATGTTGTGGGGCAGGAAAAGGAAGGATACCCATTTTGGGTAACCACACGACGGCTCGAACAGGATATGTCCGAAATGCAAGATGAGGAGCAAAAACTGCAACTGAAAATGAATAAACAGTGTTCAAAAGACGTTTCAATGGTAGCCACAATAACCTACAGTATGGGCTTACAAAAAAATTGACTATAGTTTACCGGATTAGTTGACATTTGTCGGTACCTGTCTTGTAGTAGACATCTTTACTTAATTATAGTGAATTAACTACGGTGAGACAAGAAATGTTATTGTTAATAACACGTAATTGGTTACTAACATCAAAATCTCTGTATAATATTGTCATCCCTGTTATATCTTTGACAAAACAGATATAACAGTATGTTTTAAAAGCGGATTTTGGTATTAGAAACCAACGGTAATTTGATACTTACGATCTGCAACTGTGTGATGTATTTCTTCCACCACTGCTTGACCCATTTAGGGCGGACGATGGATATCAAGTAGTAGGTGTACATAACCGCATGGACCATAGAGTTGATGAAACCCAACATGATGCCGTGCCCACCTGCAAATTTATAAAATAACATCGCAAAAGTGGGATAAAAGTGATAATCATTGCACATAGATATTTTTAAAACGACAATCTGTTGGCTTAGCACTAATATTAGCGACAAACGGCTTCGTATCGTCACAACATCAGTTCACTATACGTACTCACTGAGGGTATCATCATCAAAGCCTGCCCTAAGATCCTTCATCGTAAGAACTTCGGATAAATGTACACATGTTAACAGGAAAATCGAAAATAACATTGGTACATGGCGGGATTCGAACCTAGGACCTGCAGATTACAAGACAAGTGATTATATCCTGTGCCACCGAGGCTCTGCCTGAGCCACTGATGAAATTTCGTTTCAGTGGTTCAGGCTTTCAGGTTAAGGCCCAATGCTTTCAGTTACATGTTGTCTCCGTCGTATAAAACATAATTATTTGCGATATAGACACGATACCTATAAATCTTGCTGGAGTCTCCTAAGCTTCATTAATCATAGAAGATAAGTCATAAGTTTAAATGCTGTTTGCGTTCAGTCTGTATATCAGAATATAAGTACCTGGTACATATTTAGTTCCAATGTATCCTAACAGACACATGCCCAGGTGATGGTAGACGTGCAGGAACGATACTTGATTAAACTTCTTTCGCAACACGAAGAAGACCTGGAATTTTTACATGCGAATGTAAGTATTTTAGGACATTACTAGCTGTCGCCCGCGAGTCGGTCCGCGCGGTATTAAAAAAAAACTTAATAAGTAGCCAATGTGTTGTGAGATACCTTCAAACATCCATCCATCTAAACATTCGCATTTATAATATAAGTAAGAAGTAAGATTAGTCAGAATCCTTTGGCGCGAATAGCGCGCTTTTCGTTACCCAGCCAAGTGTCAGATTGATTAGTGAGGGGACATAAACATTGATATTTTAATAAGGCTAGTGTTGCGCCGGTACATCGGCACAGTCGGATTTCCTTACAGTATTTAAACTGAATAACCCGTTGGAATACCATGTGAATGTGTGCAATACCTCGAGCGGATCGAGGTCTTGGCTCACCAAGGAGTCAGTTGCTATAGCAACAGATGTTGCTCTACTTCTGTTTCCACTA